GGTTGGGAGTTATAAACGTTCTACATGCTGGTTGTCATGGGATGGTAGAGAGTTTGTCAAAATGCTCTAGCCAATCTTGGGGAACAACAATCACAAAGATTTTCAAACTTCACAAGGCCCCAACCAAAGTTCAGAGTGTGACACCCCTAAAATAGGAGGTCCTTTGTCAATCCGTTGATTATCCATCAATCCGCGAAAGTACCCGTGATTGTCGCACAATCCGACATTACGTCAATAGCATCCCCTTAACCGGGATTATAATTCATTTACATACTTTATTATTTATCAATCAATGGTCCTTTATATCTTAATTCATAGTCATTCATATCACATATAATCCTTTGAGCACAAGGAATCACTACCCAAGAGTTTGGTAAAACATTTCAAAAATTTGAAGTTTGTAGAAAACCTACTGGTAGAAGTTGTGTACTAGCCTCTTGTTTTCAGAAAATCTGAGAAAACTTACCGGTATAAGTTGTCCATGCTCTACCGGTAGAAACAATCTATTGAAATTCTTCTATCGGTAGGAACAGTGACGTTATACCGGTAGGAGAACCCTATTGAAAAAACTTTATCGGCTACTGGACCACATCTACCGGTAGAAGAACTCAACTTCCTACAGGTAGGTGTGCCCAGTTTTTCCCGTTTCATCCGTTTTCGATTCCAATCCATTCCAACCATGTGCAACATCAACCCAAACTCCAATAACATGAAGTTTTACATAACACATGGTTCATACAAGTTCCATTACAATCATTTTCATATGATTACATGCCCAAAATCGAATTACATCAAAGTTTTACAAAATATAGTTTAAAAATCACAAGTCAACTTTTCTACTCCATTGAGGGCCTGAATGAGAGCCTTCCACCGGTATAAACTCCGTACTTGAAATATTTTTCCATAAAGGGTGAGTCACGTTCAATAGGGTATCTCCTAAAGAGTCTACTTCCCGCCCTAGATGCATATGAAATGTTCACATGCACAATACAACAAACAACAAACATTTCAATCAGAACGTGCAATTCATTGATAGGAATCACCATGACATACCATGAAATGAAGTGAGACTCACTTATGCACACCAACCCGAGCTTTCACCGACTCCCTCAATACATGCATATGCCATGCGTTCAATTCCGAGCATTCCAAGCCCCCGCTATTGATGTTACACATCCAATGATCATTTAAAATCTCCGTGTCTTTTTTAGGGTGGGTATTTATAGACTTACATCAATAGGCACCCAACCTACACGGAATTCATGGATTTCTCTCAACGGTTCTACGTGCACCGACACACTATATAGATTAAATCAAGGGAGTGCGTATCCTAAGTAACTAGGTCTTGCACCCGAGAGATAGTCTAACCTTTCTTGCTAACCTTGACCCAATTTTCAATGCAAACCGTTCGACTCAACCGGATCTTTGATTTAACCTTCCTGGACCCATCCATCATCCACCAAGTGTGGTGTTTGATAACAATTATACAACACACCCACATTCATGCATAATGCCCATGAATTTAATGTCTCCGTGCATATGCAATGTAGTGTACAATTGCAATCTCAATCTCATGTCCAATATGCTATGAATGCCATATGGACCAATTCAACCACATGTCAACATATACCATGAGTAATTATATCCTAAACATATAATTTCTATAAATACTCATAATATTAACATATCAACTAGCATATATCAACATTTACATTCAACAACTATTTCCCAAACATGTTATATTATAATCTATGCAAAGCACAGTTAATTTTACATAGACATTTAAATCAAACATTTTCAAGGCACTAAATCATGTAATCATATAAAATGCTCAATTTCATCACAAGTCTCAAGAAATCACATTAAGTAATTTCTACATACCCAATTCAAGATAATTAATTTTTACCTATTTCTAATACCCATTTCATAAATTTACAACAATAGGCAAGTGTTAAATGTATTTAACAACTTTTCCATCTCATATAATCATTTTAGGTTGAAAATAAACCTAATTAAGATGAAAACCTTACATCTTAAAGTGTAAAATAACCGTAGGAAGCTTCAAGAATCCGAAACAAGCTCTAATTTAAGTTTTTCCCAAAATCTCATTTTTGAAATTTCGGTGAAATTCATCCTCTTTGGTATGGTCGCGTAGCTCACGATGAGGAGATCGACTTTTGTTCTTAGCTAGTGTTGATTCGAGTGGTGGGAAGACATAGATCATAGGGAGAAGTTTAGAAATCTCTCTTTTTCCCTCTCTTCTCTCTCCAACATGAAGACGTAGTTGAAAATGGGGAGAAAATCAAATTTTCTCTCATATTTATACCCTTTAAATGTTTGGTCCACATCGCGCCACATGTTCCTAATTCCTGAGTCCGATTTTGTCCCAAAATTATTAAATTTCATCCTGATTTAAGTTTAAAATATTTTTATATAAACTTCTTTTAAATTATTATCCACTTTTTGAAATTTAAGTCTCGAGTTCGATTTTGATGTCACCTGACACCCGGTCGCTCGTAAAACAAAAAAAAATTAATTATCTCAGAATTCAATGAAAATTGACAGGGTAACTAGATTTTGCGAGACAAATTCAACGGTGAGGTCCGTTTCGTCATCTGAGCTCTAAAAAAATTCGAGTTTTTAACCTGTACCAAAGTAACAAATTATTGTTTTGATATTTTTCATAAAAATTCAAAGTTACCCAGGTTTTACAAAGAGGCTGCTTGACGCAGATTTAGCTAGTATTTTTTTTTTTTTTTTTGTGAGGGAGCTGTAATAGCTCCTTTCAATTTTCCAATGTACCAAAAAAAAAAAGTGGTTTCTGAAGAGAAGGTTAATGCCATTTTGAGAATCTTAATGCATGAGGTGTGACCAGCCCTTAAAAGTTCCTGTTCATGGCTTTGCAGTACTGTTTTTTTCCCCTGTTCCATTTTTCATGCGCTTTAGACCTCAGGAATTTTTCAAGTAAAGTGTTTCTGTGTGGAAATATAGTTTTATTTTGAGTGCTTGCTTGTGCATATTTTGAGGATTAGCGTTTTGAAATTGGGTGGTCCATAACACCTTTTCTTGCTTCAGATGACAATGAATTCGAGGATGTAAATGTTGCGAGGGCAAATGATTTTTACCAATCCCGGGATGCAGATGGTGGTGGTGTGAACTGGTGAGTGATAATTATGACTGGATTAGCTTACCTGCAATGAAGATATGTGCTTCTACACACCCCAATTATCATTGCCATTGATTTTTAAGTTCTAGCTTTGGGTGCCTTTGAAACATTAAGGAAGTCTATTACAGATCTGGAATTGAAGCTTCTATGTATGAATATTTGATGTGCCCCCAATGAAATAATGTTAAAAGTAGTAGTATTTCACTTTCGCCTTTCTGGATCCCTAAATTTCGTAGTTTTTATTAGGGAAAATTACTGATAAGTGTTACTTTTTTTTTTCCCATAAACATGGATTAAGTCTTTATCATTTTTATTTTATATCAATGAAGTCTTATTGTTAATAATTTATTTGAATGAAGTCCTAAATTTTATAAATACTATATTTTATTCCGATTTTATTATTCTCCTGACAAATATTGACACCTAAAGTATTAAAGATATAACATTAGTCTTCTTATATTCGTACGAATTTAGACTTCTTGTGTTTTAGATTATGTATGTCAATTAGCTAGTTTTATAAAAAAAATTCAATTACTAATGAGATACAACAGATGAGTTTAAACCCTATGCATTTTCGATGGAGTAGAGTTTCACGATGGGAACTCGAGTATTTTGTATTTTTAGAATCGCAATTGAAGTGAATATTATTACCTACAAAAAAAATTGAGCATCCATGTATATGTAACATTAATTTCAATAAAAACTAAACATTATTTCTAGAGAAAAAATAAGTAGATTAACTCACATAAAAAATGGATGACAACTGATCCACTTTAAAAAAAACATAAAATTGAGTTAAATAAGAGTTGATACACAACAATAGTATATTTCTTAGATTTAGCAATTTTTCAACGAGCAAAAAGTGAGAATAAAAGGGCAAAAAATATTCCAATCCATAATCTCTACAAAAGAAAAAAAAACAAGTTTGCATTGTTGAGCAAGTGAACAAATAGAAATTTCTAAGAGTGTGATGTTGGAGTTGTGACATACTAGAAAGAATGAAAGGGTTTTGATAAGTAAAAATTAAGGGTAAAATGGGAATATAAAGGCATTTGGACTTTATTTAAATAAAACATTAAAACTAAGAATTCATTGATATAAAATAAAAATAATAGACTTAATAGATATTTGTAGGAAAAAGTAATACTTATTGGTAATTTTTTTTATATTATTATGGGTTAATAACAATTTTTCTCCTCCAACTTTGGGTGGTGTTACAATTGAACTCTAAGTTTTAATTTCAACAAATTAGACCTTTTATTTTAAAAAAAATTCAATTAACTCTGATCGTTATTTTTTAACTGTCAAAAGTGATGAAAATTAGTAACGTGACACTCACATGATCTCTTTTTTGTTGAAATGACAAAAGTACTACTGGTCAGTTTTCTTCTTCCCCTACCAGACCCAACCAGTGGTACAACCAACCCTCTCCCCCGCCCCCTCCCCAAAAGCTGAAAACCCTGCCTATGGCTAACAATCCCTCTCTAAAAATATAATCAACCAGAAAATGGGTCCATTAATGGAGAGTACACTCAAAAGCAAACGTGATATAAAAAAAAAACTAATGTCAAAAACAAATAAGAAAATTAGAAGCTATGAACAATGTTTTGTTTTGTCTGGCTCAACTTTTTTATTTTCGAACTAATGAAAGAGATGCACAGAAATGAAATCTTGATCTTTAATTACGTCCACTATGAATATCAACAAATTTTCCGTCCATCTCGAGTTTCCATGAGTAAAATAGGAAAAAATCAAGCCAGTTCAGGCTATTATATCATCAACTATCAACACCCAATTGATGTTTGATTGGGATGTTTGAATAAAACTTCTTTTCGGCATCAATAATTACCTCATGTTAGTCAAATGAATGAAACTATCCCCATCTATTTTCCCTTTATATTACATTTCTTGTATGTAAGTGTTCTATGTTACAAATCAAAACTCTAGTGGAGCTGTAAAAACCACAGCCAATAACTTTTTACACTCTAAATTAGAAAGAGCATCTCAGCTTTAAGCAAATAAAATAAAATTGCACAGGCTCATGCATCTTCTTCTCGAAAGACTCCTCAATTTCATCTGGGTCCTAGTGGAAATTCTCCAATTTTGAATAAATTCGTTGTGCCAGAGGCAAAAATCTGTCCTCTAATTGTAGCGCTGCATTGATCCAAAAAGCAATGGTGTGTGACAGAGTCCAATTGTAGGTGAAGTTACTTCAGAACAAGGGCAATCGATCACATGCATAGTGCATCAGAGGACTGTAAGAATGTGGCTAGAAAACCCAAAAATTCTTCTCAAGAACCAAATGCTGCCATGTATTGAACTACACTTTGTCCCTCAGAGAGGTCAGGGCATAAGATCGGATGATTTAATTACTAATCACTGAGGAATGACAAACGGCAGAGCACAAACATCAGCTGATTCTATCTGCAGAGCTTCTGCCCATACCTGCTGCTCCTTCTTGATACTGACAGAAACCACCTCGGGTTTCTTTGACCGAGGATATTTGCTGCTAAACAACCACTCCTGGTCATCAAAATCAGACCACTCCAAATTGGGAACTGAGAATACATGGCTCAAATACTTGGTATCAGGATGGGGAGGTTTACTTGTTCTTTCAGCAATTTGATCAGCAAGCGTATTAGCGGACAAAGGCTTTGGTATAGAGACAAACAATGGCTTGGCTTCAATAACACCATTCACCTTGATCTCCTTGTTATCCACCTTATGATTATTTGCAGCCCCCTGCCTATCAGAAGTATAGGATGCAAGACTTTGGCAACTTTCCAATTTCCTTCCATTCTCTATGAACGGATGTAAAGTTGGCCTTGGCAATTTAGTAGGCCTGACTTCACTGTCTGAGTCAATTCAAATAAAACATAACACTAATCAGCCAATATAAAGGAGATTAGAATTGAACGTTCTTGAAAAAAGTCATTGAAGTTCATGGCAGGATATGCAGCAAGTCAATTGCTACAATTCAAAAGAACAACGAAAAAATTCATTGAAGTTCATAGCAGGATATGCAGCAAGTCAATTGCTACAATTCAAAAGAACAACGAAAAAAGTCATCGAAGTTCATAGCAGGATATACAGAAAGTCAATTGCTACAATTCAAAAGAACAATTTCTGAGATCTAAGATACCAAACAAAGGCTGTAAGAGAAAGGTGGATCAGACACTGAATTATTGATAGGGATCAGACACTGAATGACAAAGAACTTCTCCTAGGACCACACAAGGTTGGGGAACAAAAAGGCCGTAGAGTTTCAAACACTAATAAAAAGCAATAGAAACTATCATATGGTTGATTACTTGAAAGAACTCACCATGCAGAAAACCATTTGTCTCAAAATCTTTTCTTCTCTTGAGACTTTCCTTGTTAAAAGCATTCTTGTAGCAATCCTTGGGCAAATGTGAGGCATTATTATGTGAAACACCAATAAGGTCATTCTTGATAACATCTTTAAATTTATTCTGCTCTGATTTCTTATTTTCACTTTTCTCTTTCGTATCCTCCGCCTTTTTCTTCTCTTTTTCCCGGTAATTACCCATACTGTGGCTTTTTTTCTCCCTACCTTTATCCATACGCTTGTCCCCTCTTTTAACAACACCTTCTCTTTCTTTAGATTTCTCTTTCCTTTCCATCTTTCTCTCAACGTTCTTCTCCACTGGTCTAGGCATTTCTTCAACTTTATTTTGGACAATTCCGACGAGGTTCTGGACCATTGCATTTCTACAAAATCTAACTTCAGCCTTGATTCCTTGCCTATCCATCTTTCTATTAACAACTTTCTTATCCTTGTTCTTTTCCTTCCCTTCAGACAGCATTCCAGTCTCCGTGACTGCAAATCTGTCCATCCCTTCGTCCTTTTTCCAATCTGTCCTCCCTGTTCCATTTTCTTCATTTCTAATCCTCCTGCCCAGCTCCTGCACAAATTTGGAATCCTCAGTCTCTTCAGCCAGAAAGCTGTTTCGAATAGCCTTCTCTCCATTAGAACTGTAAACATGCACAGAAGGTTTCTTTTCACTTGATCTTCTGCTATCTTTACCCCACTCCTCTTTCTGCTGAAGCTTCTCTCCATTATAACCGTCAGATTGACAACAAATTTTCTTCTCCACTGAAATGCTGCTTTTCTCTTTATCATTGTCCCTTTCCTCCTTATCATTTCTCTTGTCCCTGTGCTTTTCGTTCTTTTCTTTGTATTTTTCCTTTCTGTCTTTCTTTTCCTTGTGTTTTCCCTCAGTTCTACCTTTCTTCCTTTTTTCTGTACTGTCTTTCTTCTCTTTGTCCCTCTTCTCCTTTCTACTTCTTTTCTCTCTGGATTTCTCCTGCAAAACAACAATAGAGCTCAAGTATATCAATTTAAAACATACAAAGTCATCTAAAGAATTACAACACACAACTACAATGAATCTATCTCATATCCAACCCCTGCATTTTCACGTGAAAAGATAAAAGCTCAAAAGAAAATACTAGCGTGAGAAAGACCATTGAGAACGGGGAATAACTATGGACTGAGATCTGTGAAATCAATGATTATATAATCTTGGCACATCTACTAAGAAATTCTAGTCATTATGGTAGAGCTAATCCATCATCTATTAGACACTTTAAGTTCCATCTTATAAAAGTTCAAATGCTAACCTACAGATTCTAGTAAACATATTTTCATATTACAAACTACCAATGTAAGGGAGGATGTAGTCAATGAAAGAGAAGTTCCAAACAAAAAATTTGCAAACAAGCAAGAGAAAAGATCTCAATGGACCAGCCGCCTTCACCACTCTTCCCACCACCAGACAAAAACAAAAAATATTTATCAAGCAGAAGATGACAAAGGGGATAAAACCACTGATTACTGAAGCAAGTACTTTCCCATAATCTTTTACCAACACCAAGACAGGAGCACTCTTTAAAAAGGTCTTGTCTGAGGTATCTAAATCGGGGGAGCTCCAGGAACTTCCTCATGAACCTTAGAAGTTGCAGCTCACTCTTTGCTTTATCGAGAAGAGCAAGAGTGGATCACAGAAGACTGAGCTCATAATTCCAAAATCCACAAAGATTGAGTCAGTAAGTCAAGGACTAAAATGAAACTTTTCTTTGTTTTATAAAAAGGTCTTCTTTGTTGCCCTCTTCGTTTCCCCTTTGACTTTATGGAAGCCCTTCTTACTCAACTTGAGAGATTGAATTCCACAAGTTCGAGTGTCTGTGCATTGGAGGAAGACAGAGAGAAGACTAATTTCTTAATATATTATTCTGGTCATTCTTTATATAGATATTTAGTTAGATTTTTAGGGGATTCTTTAGGATAAGCCCGAGTTACTTTTTCTTCCATCCGAGTCGAGTAAGCAAGCAAGACGACCGGAGAGAAAAGGAGGGATGGAGTTCGAAGGTGGGATATTGGGGCGAGGGCGGTGTCCACCTGAAACCAAGCAAGTTGTGCTCTCGAGAAGGAGTTTTAACTTTCCGAAAGAAGATTATGAGTAATCCATTAAGAGTGAAAAAGAGATGAAAGCAAGATTCCGACTTCCACAAAAAGTAAGTACCCAATTGACTTCCTAAAGATAAGAAATGAAAAAGGGTCAATTCTTAACTCTTCAACTATTACAGATTAGCCCATTACCGAAGACCGGAAATAAAATAGGAAAATCCCCGATTTTTTGATGTAAAAGTAGCAGCATTTCTTCATTGAATTCTTATTGCAACTCATTCCTCAATACCCGGTAATGCTCTTACTACAAGGAAATTAGGGCAACAGGTGGGTAGGAAGTTCGGTCAATCTATCGCTCAATCCACCCGCGGTGGCAAGGGATCAAGGGCAAGGGCCGGATTAACGGAAGAATTTCAAAACTCTTCCACAAATCAAGAAGTTCAACTTGTCCTGCTTTTGATCAAAAAACCTGTCCTGCTAGAATGCATTCGTCATTGCACAGCCTCACACATTAGTAAATATAGAAAGATCTACAATTAGGGGCGGAGGCAGGATTTTATTTTTTTTTCCCACCAAGGTGGGGAGTAATTTCCTTTCAACGTGTACAATCGAAAAGTCCATGAAAAAATCATAATTTATTTTGTTGAGAGTCCTCCAGGTTGCAAAGAATCGATTCTTGAAAAATCAAGAAACACTCTTTTGGATTAGTGCATTTTACAATATGCATCTAATTGTGTTTTATTGGCTTACGGGCAACTAACTTACTAAAAAAAGAGAGGAGCAACTATTTAATTTTTTTAAATCTAGGGGGTAAGATATTGAATAAAAGAAAGTAATTATCTTTAGTCAATATATACAAGGGCCAGTATTTTACATTTGTTTTGTACAGTCTAATAATAAAACATCTTTTTTAATGGGTTAAGACGACCCAATGTTACCTGGATCATTGGTCGATTTGTTATGTGGTACGAGTACGAGGATGTGGTTCAATACTTCTCCCAATATGCGGTACGATGGGGGTAGGTTTAACTGGTATGCTATTTTGGGTCATAGTTTGTTTTGTAACTTTTATATAAAATAATGCATCTATAATCTATATACACGTATCAAACACATTTATTCTATATTTTTCTAGTAAGTGTTGTCAAAACATGAGTTTAAAGAATACAAAAATAAAGAAATAACAAATTAGAGTTACGATTTGAAATTGGGATTATGATGTGGGGTTACTTAGATTGTAAGTCAATTTGTGATTTGAGTTATAATTTGGGGTCGGAAATTTGAGCGATCTGAATTGCAAACATACACCATTTAGTGTCGTACGACCCCAGTTCGTGAGCTGCTAACGGTATGTACAATCCTGGTATCTATGAGGTGACCAAGAAAATAACAAGGATCAATACATAAATTATTAAAAAACAAGGGGGCAATAAATTAAATCGAGAAGATTCATGGTTTTTGAACACTATATATGCAGGGTTCATAATCAGGTCTGTGGGGGCAAGATAAACAGGTCTAAAGCTCTTAGATACTCTTCCTAAATAACACATACCAACTTCTCAAAAGACACAGATAATAATTTTAAAATGACTTATTTTAGCTAAACCTATTCCATATATTTAAGACTATTGTCTTAATAATGCGACAGAAAACCTTAATTAGGAGACTAAGCAATCGGTGTATTGCCCAGGCCATAGAATTAGCTTTTTTATTGGTATAGAATTAACATTCTGTCAACAAAAATACACTTGTATCCAGAATAGGTTGAACAGATTAGCAATTCAAATAACTGGAGTGATGAGTTGACCCAATTCAACACCAAGCAAACTAACCAACAGGTCACAGTTATTCAGTCTCATCAAGTACATTAAAAGCATTAAAAAAGGCGTGTTGGTGAAAATTCTTGAAGTGGACAACACTTCCAAGTTTTCTTTTCCAAAAAATTAAAAATAAATGTCGGATTGATGTAGGACAACATTGAACCCGAAAAACCAGCACTGTTCTGGGCTGTGAACAGGACAGTAAACAGTAAATTTGGGATAAGATGTGACCCTTTGTGGGTTAGAGTTTGATGGATTGTTCGGAAAATGGATAGGGTTTTGTAGCCTACTTTTAATGATATAAAGAATAAATTTTCAGATCTTATTATGGGTTGAGAACCTATAATATCACAAACCCCACTCACCCACACACTCTCCTCTTTACCAAAAAAAAAAAATTTACTCTCTTCTTTTTTTTTTTTTATCTATTTGTTATATAATGGAGTGTCATTTTCTTTCAGAATTATTTGAGGTTTTATTTTTTTTTAAAATCATAGAAATTAATTTTTATGACGTGAATGGTGGTTGGAAGGGGGAGGGGGGATCAAAATTTATCCGCGGGGCGGGGATGGAGATTAAAATTTCCCCCCCGTTAGGGGGTGAACAAATATTTTTGCAGCTGGTATGGGAGTGGAGATGACTCCCCCCACTCCCACCCCAGTCTACTACCATCCCTAACTCCAAAGACTCTATATTATTTATAGACTAGGAAACTAATATAAATTAGAACTCTAGACTTTAGAAACATCCAATACTAGAATTTGACAAAAAAACAGACCCACGGGTCACGCTATAACCCGTTCCAAAAATTAAAAATTACAAAAATACCCTTCTGACAAGAGTTCCGAAACAAGCCATAGTCAAAGAAAACATAATGGGAATGGTTGTAAACAATAAAAGCTACTGGTTGAATACTTGTTTTATAGAGAACATTCAAATCATAACAAATGAAAATATAAGTTTAAATATCATCAGAACAAAGCAATAACCAATTAGGGTTATAATTTGGTGTTAGAATGATAATTTAGGCTTAAATGGTTCATGACTTGTTGGGGAATGGGTTACAATTTAGGGTCATGAATTTGAGCAATCTTGGTTGAGAACCCACCTAGTTTCGGGTTGTGAAACCTCGACTCATAGTATGCTAGAGTTATATACGATCTCGGAATCTATGAGTGTAACTCAAATAAGAAACTTACATGCAATTTACAGAAATTGCCTTCTCCAATCTAACCAAAGTGAACAAGCGGCCTACATCCCTATGGTTGAATGCACCCACAACAATTAAAATCGGAGAACATACAATTTAGGGCATTCAACTCTATCTAAGACAAGGAACAAAAGTTTTGAAGTGAATTTCAGCTTCTTGTGGAATTTTAAAAAATTCAAATGTCCTAACCTTATATGTTGTGTAAACAACCTAAATTCATTTCTAAGAGAGAGGCAAGCATATTAAATAATGCAATCCCAATAGGGAAAAAAAAACGATGTTAATGTATAAGCAACAAAAAAAATAACAAATAGTAAATGGATTAACCTCTTTTAATAAGTCTGTATCATCCGATCTAGCTTTCTTCTCATATCCTGGAGGCGGAAATGGAAAGCAGCGGGACATTGCACAGAATCCTGGAATAAATAAAACAAGCACCGTTAAAAGACAAATACGCTTCAATTACTCCCCAGCAGCACTGTCCTGATGGGGGAAGGAACTGGTAACCATGCTTCTGTCCATGCACCATGTCCTCACATTCATATCCAGCTTCAATAATCCAACTTGCTTATCTTACCTTTAGCTTCAAACATACATAAAGTCCAAAACCTAGCTCAAAATTATGGTTAACAATGCACCTATCTAATCCAACCTACTCCAATACCACTGCTAACACTATTACCACAAACTTCAGGCACAAAATCAAAAAAATGAAGCTCTCCCGTCACAGATATTCACAGAACTGTTAACCAAATGGTTTAGAAAATGGTGCACTGCAGTTTGATCGCCTGTCTTGCCTGCTGGACCAACTCAGAACCATCACCGCAACTTTCTGACCAAAACCTACCAAAATCATCCCCTAGTCAAGATCACACACCAAAATTTCAAAAACCAGAATTATTTTCACCAAGAAAATAATAATTCCCCAATTTCAACCACTTTGTACACAAACCTATATCTACAATCCTCTTCCATGCCCTCTATAACTGTAATTCAACAATCTCTTTCAAGCAGTTCAGTGCTGAAATGCACAAAACCACCACAATCCAATTGACAATTTCTTGAAAGATCGAACCTGACCGCCTCTTATTCACTCCTGCGGCCGATCCTGAGTACACTCCAATGGGCCCCTCAACAATAGTACCCGAAAATATTTCTTCGATTCCAAATCTCGGTCTTGATTAAAACCCTAATTACTCCACGAATTCGCAAAACTTCAAGTGAAAGTGATCCAATAAAACCCTAGAAAAAACCAAAACCACAATTCTTAGTACCCAAAAGAAACCCTAATAAGGATCAGCAATAAAATTCAAGAATTCCTAGAACAAAGCGAAAAAAATATATACTTTTTTTCAAAGAATCTAAAATCAAAGCAAGAATGGCTGAAAATACACGAATCTTTATATACAGTCTGGATTATTGGAATGTAAAAATTTACGTTGTCCGCTACAAAGTGAAGAACAGTGCAGGAAGGACAAGAAATCAAAGACTTGTAGAAAGACAACCGAATGAAACTCTCTCCCTCTCCCTCTCCCTCTCCCTCTCCCTCTAATTTCTTTCAAGTTTTTGGAGTTCTGTCAAATGGTGCTTGAGAAACCTTCTTGCTGGCAGTAGGTTGTGTTCGGAATTCACACGCAAATGAAAGAACAGAGAACAATTTGATGGGCACAGGCTATATAAATTGAGAGAGAGAGAGAGACTGGAAAGTATTGAAAAGGCTGGCGGGTGATATACCACGCTCGTATACATTCGTGTCGTGAACGTCTCATGTCATGTGTGTCCGGTTTTGAATATGACTAAGATATTGAATTCGAATAAATCTATATAATAAAATAGCTTACAAATTAAAATTTAAAAATAAATAAATAAAATTTTATTTTTTACAGTTAAAATTGTTTTAAATTTTATTTTAAAATTAAATTAATTTAATGACTAATATTAACACCCTAAATTTAATAGAAAAAATAAGGCCCTCAGAGTATTTTTTGAATGACTTTTTAAAAATATTTTTAAAAATTATTTTTCATAAATACTTTTCAAAAAACATTGTTTGAAACCGCTCCGCCACTACCTCTATCACCACCGCCGCAGTGGCAACCACCGCCACTGCCACTATGGTTATTACCACCTATCACAATTATCACTTTCTCCTACTACCACCACTGTCGCTCATCACCTCTCACCCACATTATAACTAATGCTTAAATTAATTTATCTCTCATCTATATTTGTGATTTGATTTTAAATATGAATACAAATATATTTATTGTTTATTATTTTTTATAACTTTGTGCTTTCAGGCACAGACAATAATTAGTTTTTCAATATCATATTAAAAAATTATTATTTATTTATTTATTTATTTTGACTTTTTTTAAAAAATTCTTAATTTCAAACATAATAAAATACAATCATATAATGATAAAATTTTGTATGAATTACTTTTTAATTAAAAAAATTAAAATTATGTGACTTTTAGAAAATATTTTTCAATGCAATAGTATAACTCGGTTTATTTTACATATTACATATTAAACACTGTGCGCTAAGATGCAAGAAATATATCTATCTATAACATTATAATATTTTATTTTGTTTAGTTATAATAAAAAAAACAATAAGATGCTCAATTAAAAATTAATAATAAATGTTTAATTTTTAATTTTTAATATTATTTAGTATTTTTAGATACGAGTTATTACTAATGAACAACTATATTAGTTGCGGCCTTGTATATCACATGACATTTATATCTCCATTCCATCATATAATTTTTTCGGGGTTAAAATCACTTTGTATCTTGAAAGATGTTTTTATTCTTAATTTGTATCTTCAAACATCAAAAAATTTAATTTACATCCTCAATGTGATGAAATTGATAGCAATATGGATTTGAGTCAAATTGTTGTTCAATTTTTCATCACAAATTAAAGTATATGAGGTTCAAGTGCTTTGGACAAGGAGAAGAGTTACATTTCATCACTGTAGATATTTGATTACGATCAATTTGACATTATTTTGTATATCGAAAATATAGAGTGTCATTAAATCAAATAGAGACTAATGTTATTAGAGCAATGCTATGTGGATTTAAAAAATAAACTTGATAATCTTAATTATTGATTTCACTATGGGTCCCAACGTTTATTGAGACTCACTACTTATTCAATAGTTGAGATTATCAAGTCTAATTTTTAAGTCCATCTAGCATTACTCATCTTATTTTGTGCAATCAATATAAGACGCCAATATAGTCTATAAATTTATATATAAGCTCATGCTTGAAATATTTATAACTCACATGTTTCAATTTTATGACAAAACAATGAACAAAAATTTGGGCGAGATTCACATTATTACAAATTTATAACTTTGATAGTGTAAATTGAAAATTTTGATGTTTGAAAGTACAAATTGAAAATTAAAATATCTTTCGTGGGTTAAAGTGAGATTAACTCTTCTTGTCAATCTCATTTTGCACCCTGAAAGATCGTTCAAATCTCAATTTATACCCCTAAAGATAAAAAATCTCAATTTACACCCTCAAAGATAGAAATTTGTANTTTGGGCGAGATTCACATTATTACAAATTTATAACTTTGATAGTGTAAATTGAAAATTTTGATGTTTGAAAGTACAAATTGAAAATTAAAATATCTTTCGTGGGTTAAAGTGAGATTAACTCTTCTTGTTAATCTCATTTTGAACCCTGAAAGATCGTTCAAATCTCAATTTATACCCCTAAAGATAAAAAATCTCAATTTACACCCTCAAAGATAGAAATTTGTATCAATGTACACCCCTAAAGATCAAAAATCTCAATTTGCACCCTCAAAGATATAAATCTGTATCAATGTGCACCTAAAATTAAATTGATAAATTATACCTAGATCCCCTCGTGTTTGTCACTTAATCATTTGAACCCCTTCACATTTAGAATATTACCCCTACATCTCATGGCGTTTGTACATGTGTAAACATAACCACTTTTCGTTGATATCTATTAATATAATCGTTAAAAAATATGATTTTATCCTAATAAAAAATTATAATTTCATATTACTCTTTATTTTGTGGATTCGATATACTCTAAAGTTCAAAATCACGCTTACCATTTGAGTATCTAATAGAATGTAGATATTTATATAAAAGAAAATATGAAAAACATTATATAAATATCTACATTTTATTAGACATTCAAATGGTAAGCTTAATTTTAAATTTTAGAGTATATTGGACCCATAAAATAAGGGTAATATGAAATTATAATTTTTTATTAGGATAAAATTATATTTTTTAACGGTTATATTAACAGATATCAATGAAAATGAGTTACATGTTGTACGTGCATAAATGTTATGAGATGTAGGAGTAATATTCTAAATGTAAAGAGGTCCAAATGATTAAGTGACAAACATGAGGGGATCTAAGTATAATTTATCAATTTAATTTTAGGTGCACATTAATACACATTTCTATCTTTGAGGGTGCAAATTGAGATTTTTAATCTTTGGGGGTGCACATTGATACAAATTTCTATCTTTGAGAGTGTAAATTGAGATTTTTGCTTTTTAAAGGTATAAATTGAGATTGAAACGATCTTTTCGGAGTGTAAAATGAAATTAACCCTTTTTTTTTTCGTTTCATGTTAGATTTGGGACTNAATTGAGATTGAAACGATCTTTCGGAGTGTAAAATGAGATTAACCCTTTTTTTTTCGTCTCATGTTAAATTTGGGATTGGGTTCACGCATTATGGAGGCGCGTGAAACCGGAAACTGCTTAGGTGGGGGAATTTGACACTTGCCTACGCACATGTAGGTTTGTTCGCTTCCCATTTTTTAAAAACGGCATCACGAAAGGTTACACTCGCTCAGAAGTCGGCTCGAGCCAATTTAAGGTATAAAAACACAAATATTAAATAGAATTTTTTTTATTTTTAATATTATTTTTTTAAAAAAAATAATTTATTTTTAATTTTTTATGTGAGTGGTAGATAAAAGAAAGATGTGTTAATGTTGTTAAGAAAAAAATTTTAACTTTTATTTTTTATCACAAAAAGAGAGAGAAAATATTTAATTTCAATTTTTATTTTTTTTTACCTAAGAGAGAGAGAGAGTGGGTAGAAATAAATATGAGTTGACTTTTAAAAATATTTTTTTATTTTTTTAATTTCTAAGTTTTTAATGTTATGGATTAAATTATATGCCCAAATTATTACAATAAAAATTTGAAAATTTTGGAGACCGGTCCCTCTATATGAATTTTTTTCGACTTAAGTCTGACAAGGAAACTTATTTGTTATGAAATTCATTTTTTGTCAATTTTATCAAACTATCACTCCCCTTTATAAGTGAAGTAAAATTAAAAATTAAAAAGTTCTAAATTTTAGATGTTTACTAATTTAAAAAAAACATTCTCTCATATCTATCTACCAGTTATTTCTTGTACTTGAAGACATAGAGTAATAAAAAAAATAGTCAACTATAAATATATTTATATTTTCACCCAAAATCAAAGTACAAAAATAGAAGAGAAAAAAAAAATTAAGCATCAATTATAGTTGGGGGCAAAT